ATGAATTTTTTGCCAGGGGCAAGAAACCACAGGCTGCCACTGACTGATTCCAGTTGGCCCTGGGGTTGACCAAGCCCAGGCCACAGAGAGACTGCCTCCCAGAGAAAGACTTGCTCCTGTCGGAACTCTCCCAGAGCTGAAATGTAGAGACGTAGAGACCAAAGGGCCCCGAAGCCCCCAGCAATAATCCGCAGCTAATCACAACTCGGAGGAGTGAGGTAATGTTCACAGAGTTTCGTTCATGTGTGAGGGTGTATCGGAAGGCCTCAAAAGGCTTGCTTTTCTCCTTATCACCCCTTTCTTAGATTAACCTATAAGATACAGATCGGAGAAGAACTGGATTACTTTTTCTGGAGAAATCGCTGACCTTTCTTTCCATTTCGTCGTTCTGAGAATAGAAACTTGTTTCTCTAGAAATGCATATAGAACGTGAGGCAAAAATTGTTATAAACACTGTTTTCGAGTGAGATATCAAAGATAAAATTATAAGTGAGAACGGAAAAGGCTTTCGGCGTATTTTCACACCAAAGGGGTCTGTTGCATTTATCGAGCGTCACTTTTTAGAGTAAAATGTAATCAGTCACAGGAGGTCCCTATGTATCTTTTTTCCCCACCTCCTGGTTTTTGATGCTTGGAACCATTGTGGAAGCGTCCGAAAATTGTTAAAAGTGAAGGTATTCTTTCATCAGAGTTAGGAAGGGCCTGTTAGATCATACACTCCAGGGTAAAACTCCAGGACAGGACGAGCAATTGTTTTGATACCAAACGTTTGTTTAGCCTCTTGTGGGAATTCCACATCCCTTAGGGCAGTGGACCCTCGAATGAGCAAAAACAGGCCCATGGTCGAAACAGCTGCCCCCTCTACCTCTGATCCGGATACAAGGAATATTCTATTTTAGGATGTTAAATAATAAGAAACCTTAACCTTGAATTTGGACGTAACTGGACTTTGATAGTCATTTAGAGTGCTATTCACCAAAAGTGTATTTTCCTGTCTTTTCTTCTTACAATTACTAGGGGCGAAATACCATCATTTTTTTTTTTTTTTCCAAAAGACCATAATGTTTAAAAGCTTACGATTACTAGGGGCAAAATACCATTTTTTTTTTTTTCAAAAGACCATAATGTTTAAAAGAACTTAATGACCATGTATTTACAGAAGGTAACATTTAATGAGCACACACAAGGTGCCAGGCTGTGTTAGAAGCGCTTTCTATACCTGTGTGACTTAATCCTCACAAAAATCTTATGTTGCTGGCACTGTGTGTTATCCCAATTTTTCAAATGAAGAAACTAACAAGTGTGTGAGTGACTTGGCCAGGATCATACAGCCAGAAAGTGACAGAAATTTGAACCCAAGAACACTTGAGTCTGGAGCCTGCCCTTCTAAACACTGTGCCTCCTCCAGACGATCTCCATGGGTTAAACACCCATGACGTCTCTAGCACATAAGATCTCAATACATTTAGTGAATGTTTACTTCTCGAATATAGAGATGAAAAGACTTCAAGAGTTACTTAATATAAAGAGTATCTTTTCATGGTTACCAAGGAGACAGCTCTTACAGTCTTACCTGTCACATCTTCAAAGGATTGCTCACCTGAGAGGCAGAAAGTGGCTCGCCCACACCAATCACTTCTCTGTCCTACCTTCCTGGGCTTTAGGGAAATTAAAAGCAGCCTCTTAGGAATAGGCCAGGGGCCTAGGGTTGTAGAGTAAGCACTAAGTGTCCAACTAAGTGTTATGGACCGAAGCAGGTCTGTTTATGTTGGGAAGGAGGATGGTTGTCAGCAGAATTATGGCCTAAGTGCTTTTCCTAGAAGTGATTAGATGGACTTTTGTTTGTTGCTCTATCTACACTCTAATCTGAATCCACTAAACCGCAGGTGTGTTTGTGTCTATACCCAGAAGGTAGTCTCCCAGGCTTGAAGAGAGGCTGAACCTGTGTCCTCAGTGCCCTGTGGTGGCTTAGGTAACCAGCCATAGTCCAAAGCGACGTCATCACTTAGTGGAGCTCCTGCTTTATATTGTCATTGTCCCAGCTCTGAGAATATTCACTTCCCCCCTTGGTGTATACCTCGATGACCACACTTCTCAAACTGAACTCAGGGATGACAACTGCATGAGCCTCCCAGCCCCCCGGCCCTCCCTCGAGTGTGTTTTGCTTTGGCTATTGGACTGGGAGTGGGTGGCCTTTCAAGTCACTTCAACTCGAAGCCGGCTCCAAGGAAGCAAACCTGCTGCTGATGATATATACACAATTTTCAGAATTATTCCAAAGTGGGTTGGAATAATTCCTTTATTCCAGAGCTTTCTGAGGTGTATGAATGGGGCAGGGGGGAATTCCATGTTCCAGGGAGTTTGGAATATGCTGGGTTAAAAGGCTGGAATAGTTTTCCGCAAAATTCCCAGCCTTTAACATGATGCTGGGGATCGCGAATCTGTGATGGAGCTCCCGGTGTCCACCCCGCAGGGCCCAGAGTGTCTTACAAGTGGACAGCGGGTGAGAACATGGACGATGGACCCTGACGGCAAAATCTAGCTGTGTTGCTCACTGTATAGTCTTGGACAAGGTTCTTTACCTGTGATGTGTCTCCTCACCTGCAAAATAGAGGTGATGATCATGATAACTCCACCTTTATAGGGTTCTGAAAATTAAACCACGTACGCCTATCTCTCTAAGTGTAATATGTTACCTATTGTTATGACTTTATTCAGCTCTGTTTACTAATAATATAGGCCCCATTTACCTAACTGTAAATTCCAAAAGTTAGAGAAAGTTTCTTGTGAGCTTTCTGTAACAAAAGGAACATCCGAAGGAGGGAATAATATAGAGGCTTTGAGTTGCAGGGGGAAAAGTTAAACAGAGTTTCCAGTTTAAATCATCTGTCTAGTCAGTGTGGCCACAGTGGCGACGAATTGAAAAGTTGATTTTGAGTAACTAAAGGTAAAATAAACGAAAAAGGAGAAAGTGAACAGGGGCAAGAATCATTCTTGTATTTCTCTAATTTGGATTAGTTTGAAAGAGAAAGTGTCAAGTTATGTGTAAAGTGTAACAGTAGACATCAAATTCCAGCTCCCTGGACGTTTGCTGTGAAGTCGGTGGCTCATGGCTAGCTGGGGGAGAAAGCGGAGTGAAAGCCTTATCAAGAAGCGGCTTAGGAACGGCAAATTGAGAAGACGCCCGTTCATTCAAACGGTAAAACAAACAAATATGCTTGGTTCTCTAGGTAAAAACGATAGAGCGCTGTTTAGGGCCGTTCACAGTGATTACAGGGGGACTAGACTGTAAACAAACTCATAGGAAAGCTTTAGGATGGGGGTGCGAGCATGGTGTTGGGGAATAACAAAACGACTCCACCAAAAAGACAGGAGGCAAATCTAGATGGGACCGCATGTCTCACGGCTGGGCTGGTGCAGAGTAAACTGATGCTGTTTGCTTTGCCTGCGCACGTGTGTGTGTGTGTGTGTGTGTACACAATACAGGGGAGAAGACTTCCATTCTGGAGCACGTGATTCAATTTGGGAGGCTGTGAGTGAGCCCCACGAAGTCCAAACGGGAGGCTGGATAGCTTGTCCTTCAACAGACGGGGCCAAAATGACTATATAAAGTAAATACCGTAAATCACTGTTGTCAGGGCGCACACCCCACCTCCCGCTCGCTGCCCACAGCCATCCTCGTTGCCACACCCCCTCGGCGGTTTGGGGCGAGCTCCTGCCGTCGTCTAAGTAAACGACAGGACTTCTGACTGTAACCTAGCACGTCACTTTGTTGAAGGCAAACACGTGGTCCGGAGGGGACGTATAAATCTCCCTCCCAGGCAAGATCGTGATGTTATCTGCTGGCAGCAGACGGTGCGCTCCGAGGGGAGCTCCAGAAGCTCGAGAGGGAGAGGGAGAGGGAGAGAGGGGGATAGAGGGAGAGGGGAAGAGAGAGAGAGGCAGAGAGGCAGAGGCAGAGAGAGAGAGAGAGTGGGCGACAGCGCAAGTGACGGGCCGGGCCGGGGATGGAGACCCTGGCGTAACGGGCCGGGCACCGTCCGGGGTGGAAGCGGGGGGCCGCGGAGAGGGGCAAGGGGAGGCTCGATTTCGGGGAGCCAAGTGCCCTCAGCGAGAAGGTCCAGGCGGGGGAGAAAGCAGGAGAGGTGGGGAAGGGTGGGCGTCCAAGGCAAGCCCCTCGTCCCCCCGCAGGAATCACAGTCCCCGCCAGCGGTCTCCGGGGGGCGGGGGCGAGAGCCACGGCGGCGGCCGCCGGTCGCCTGCTGCCGGGTTGGCGTCTG